TTTCTTCTTATTAAAAAAAAAAAAAAAAGCAACAAGCATTCACGTGACCTTTAAAGTTTGGTAACAAATGTAACTTTAAAAAGAGATTCAATCCATCCATGATTCTTGCACAATTATGTTGCTTTATTTTCAAATATTGTGCAGATTTTTACTCTAAACTCTTCCCTCTATCACCCCATGATCACACGCCCACATCACACACATACACACGATCGATTCTATTCATCTGCATATTCTCCATTCTCAACTCCTATACATGCCTATATAGTGACTTTTCTGGAAGAAAAAAGAAGGGGGAGATATTCATAGCATGCCACTGATTACATTCACAGAGAACTAAGTAAGAAGGATCTAAGATATAATTTTTTTTTTTTGGAAGAGACAAAGGTTTAGTTTCGAGTTTTGGGTTCGCGCTACGGTTGCTGTTTTTCATTAATTTCTTGCAATTGCTGGATCTTCTTTTATATTATTGAAAGCTTCTGCAAAGCTTCATATCCTCTATCTTTGTCTTTTCGGTCTTCTAATTTTATATGTATTTGTGTGTTGGTAACGTTTAATGTGATCTTTATCTTATTTAGGAATGTTTTGTTTTTGTTTTGTAGTTTAGTTCTTTCCTTAGCTTCTTTTTAATCTTGATTTTTGATGCCATAGATAATACGTGCAAGTAACTTATGTTTAGTTGAATGCCCATTTGCTACTAAAGTTAAAATTAATTATAAGAAGTATTTTAGTATATAAGCAATAAGTTTTTGATCATTTTATCTTCTGTTACTTTTTAACTATTTCACTAGTTTTCTTAGAGATTGCCAAGTGAAAAAGAAAATTTTAATTAATTTTTGTCTTCTCATTGTATTAGTTATAGAATTTGCTAGTAAAATATATAGTTAGAACTTCTATGTTGGATTCTTTAAAAAAATTGCTTTATTAAGGGTTTGAAATAATCTTGTTAATATAAAAGTCTTTGAAGTTTTTTTTTTATTAAGGATTTGTTTTTTACAAATATTAAGATTTAATATCTTCTAAAGTGAAAGGTATAGTGGTATGGAGACCTCAGATTATTCATTTTATTTTTTACTACTTGAGACGTGAAAGGGATATCTCTAAGGTTATTTTGATTAAAAAAAAGCTTTAGTCAACTTTCTGTGAGTATGTTTAATCATTTGACAGTTGGATGAGATTTGTATCTGTACCCATTTTATTTTGTATGTATCTAGACGTTATTTTCCTAACTCTTATATAGTGTTCTTCAAGGGGTCCATGATCAGCTTTTAATATGTCTTGAAAATATTTTAAGTTTTAAACTAGCTTCAGGGACAGGAAGTGGT